TTTGAGGTTTGTCCTAATAACATCTGGCAACATTTCCAGAAAATATGCTTATGTGTCTTTTCTACAAACAGTTCCTGATGACCCATTGTTTAAAACTAAATTCCAGATTTTTACGCAAAAAGGAAGCATCATCTACTATGGTTTTTGACTGATTAGTAAAATATGTATTACATTTTCTTATTGGCTATCACTACACTTTCTGATTCAATGAAAAACATAGTAACAAAGTCTAACATCAGGCCCAGAAAGGTTGAATCACCTTCCAGTAGAAATACTAATAAGTTCATCATTGTTCTCTTTAAATTTTTACTCCTTATATTGGAGCACTGAATAGGTCACATGTTTGACCAATGATTCAAATATACTTCATCTGGCACTTTTAGTTCTTCAGAGCTTTCACTTTTTTTTTTTTACTGAAGTCTGCCACACTTAATCTAAAATGTTGAAACTATATTATCAGTAAAAGTGATATTGTGATACTTTCTCATGATCATTCCGACGTAGCTTGAAAATTTGGTTCCTTTACTATGGCTCTAACAAGCTTTTCATTTTCTTCAAGGCTACAGGTGATAGTACAGATTTTAGTAATTTAATATTATGGTTTCTCAGTTTTGTTACTAGGCAGTCAAAATCCATTAAATAGGCATTAACCAACATATTTTTAAGTTTCCAATATTTCTTTAAAAAATGAATTGGTGATTCAAAATGCAAACTTGTTCCTGTCTTTCTTTAAACAAAGTGTCTAATTTAAGATAAAAGTTTTACCATGCCATCTTTTTCAATTTAAATGCTTTAAATTCATCTACAATATGGCCTTTCTTGTTTTACCTTCCAAAATGCAATATCAATTCTTTTCTTTGCTTCAATATTCTGTAGGAATTCCTATAGTTTCCTTTTTATGTCTGCTATCAACACTGTGTCATCTGCATATCTTAAGTTGTTAAGAGTGTGGCTTCCAATAATGAATCCAATTAGGACTTCTAATTCTCTCAGAATGGCCTCACTGTATAGATTGAAAAAGTTTCGTGAGAAGACCCATCCTTGTATTACACCATTTTTTATATTTTTGTATGTTTACTAAACTCATTTCCTATCCATATGCAGGCAGTTTGTTGCCAGAATAGGTTCTGGATTATTCTAATATCCTTCCCACATATGTCTAGGTTACCTAGCAGTATTCATCATAATTTAGTATTTCTTTAACATTTTAACAATATCAGTTAGTCATTAACTTTTTTATTGGTAAAACATTGATTTGCTTAATTGTACATTCTAATATTTTTAAATCTTTCTCTTTATTTAATCAATACATGAATTAAATATTTATCCTAGACATATTACAAATGTACAGTCTTCATTTAATATTTAAACCACAGCTCAAATTAAACTAAAATCAACAGTCATTTCTACTTCTATAGTGTTTATTAACCATTCCACTTTATTAATAAAACCATCAACAATGTTGCCAGGAAGTCAGAAAAAAAATTATACTGAAATTACAGAAAAGTTCACATTAAAAATGTACAAAATAAGAAATGAGAGTAACAAAATAGAATATCAATGATAGAAAGTATTTAGAATTATATAAATATTATTATAATATAAAACTGAGAAAACAGTTTTTACTTCTCTTTATTGAAATATGAACAGCTTTACAGAGAATTCATACCAGAAACTCATTATGGTTAAGGAATGGCTATACAAAACAGTTTGTTTCTGCATTGAACATCTGTGCACTTGAAGGTCAGAAGTGAAATGGCAAAACTAATCTCATTATTATTATTATTATCATCACCATGGGATTGAAACAGCACCTATCAGCACTTTAGTCCAATTATCCCCTTTCTAACTAATCAGAGAGATTGCTGAGACCATTTAAAAAACCCAGTTTTGGAACCTATACCAACACATAAATATGACAACTCCAACTGACCTAATCAGTTTTGAGATCAACTTTCCACAAGATTAACAAGATGTCATTTTGCCATTCACACATCTACTTACAACTTCACTTTATAACACATCCATTTAAATATTCATCAATACACAATTTATGAATGTTCATAAACCAACCAACAACTAAAATGAACTTACCAACTGATTTGCAAAATAATCAATGCAACAAACAATGTTTAATCTTCACACTAAAGTATAAAACTTTTAGCCAGATATCCCAAATCCTCCCATTAGAATCTCAAGTGCATAAGAGGGTGGGCTGAAAAGTTAATAGTCAGCCTGTGAACTTTTCAGCCCACTCTTGTGCTACCTATCAAGAGGATGTATAGGTGGTGTAATGATTAGCAGCTCGGGATACAAAACTGATGATTTGTTACATTCACTTTTGCACAAATACCTTTGGGAATCTTGAATCCATTTCTTCTCTCTCAAACTACAGGTTAAATAGTAGGGCAAACTGGGCTCTTGTGACTTGGTTGGCAACAAGTCTAGGAGAATGACATGTCTGAATTGCAAACCAGTTGGTATTGGCTAGCAACTCCATCGCATGAAAAAACTACTTGCTATGAAAACCACAGCATGTTGAGGCTGTGGCTCTTTACTTGGCAGTTGGAGTGTATGGAGACTTAGGAGAGTAATAGAGATTACCTATCAATGTAGAAATAAACAAAAATATTATTTAAATGCTATCTTTATTTTAAATTTCATTTGTTCCTCTTTTGTATGTCATGTTTTCATTCTTACTCAAACAGTCATCTTTCATATTATTTACACCAACGACAAGATGCAATGGATAAATTGTCATCTAAATTATACAAAAATGAAAATAATACTGGCATTGCATTTTAAGATATATTTATCAGAATTACACAAAAATATCTTGAAATACTAAAGAATAAATTTATTCAATAAAGTCACTATTCGCTTCAACCACAGTCTCCAGATGACTTTGGAATCCCCTGCAACTCTTCTGGACAGTCTCCTTGTTCAAGTTGGTGAATACTGCTATAATCCTTGCCTTCAGTTCATCTTTGGTATTACAAGGAGTTTTGTTCGTCTCTCACTCATCTGAGTCCCACATATAATAATCAAGGGGGTTGCACAGTCTGGGGAGTTAGTAAGGTGTGATGTAGTCTGACAGACATGACCTGGTTCTCCTGCTTGTATGGCATGGTGCAGAGTCCTGTTGCCAGATAGAGTCTTCCAGTAGCCACCCGATTGACCCAGGGAAGCACTACCTTCTTAAAGCACTTGGTGTAGGCCTCCTTTTTGAGTCTAAGTCCCTCACCAACAAATTTTCTAAGCTGTCATACCTTCGTAATCAGCATTAGACTTTTCCAATTCTTTCTGAATCCTCTGCATTGTCCTCAGACTGACACCCAAACACACTGAAATGTTCATATTGGAGCTTCCAAGCAGTACAGTATGGCATTTTCAAGTTTCTGCCAGTGTGAATTGCATCATGGGTTCTCTTTTTCTCACAGATGGTGCCCAACTGACCCTACTATACTGTGCAGTCAACAAAAACAAATAACGTGCATGTGTGAAATTAAAAATATAAAATGGCAACAATTTACCCAGCGCACCCTGTACAATGGAACAAGGAAGCAAAAACAGTTTAGAACATAACTCTTCACACCCAAACACACTTCAGAAATTAAATAAGTCATTTCGAACAAAAGGTCTAACACCAATTCATGACAACAAAAATTGTAATGGGATTTTCTATTGTTCACCTCTGGAGTCAGAACTAAAAACATAAAATCCTCGAGATTACTTAGAATCAGTCAATACTGATTTTTTTTTGATTTTTTTATTTTGTGAAATTGATGTAAAAAGGATCTTTTTTAGTTTAAAAAAATCTATATAAACACAACAAAGTTTTTATTAAGATTATAGGCCAAGTATTAAAACAGAAAATAAATTATCAGTACAAGTGTATGAAGTTCATGAGTTTGAATAAAAGAACAATTTCGATCTGTTTATGTAAATATAAGTACATATATATAATGTTATGGTCAAAAGGTTATGTTGGTTAATAAAGTTATAAAATAATATTGACACCATCTTCTGGTGCAGACATTTTGAGTATCATGTGTAGTGTCAACATTTTCATAAAAACTTTATGAGGTCCAACAGTTCATGTTGCCATAAACTATTAAGCTGTAACTCAATCTTCCATTGGTCAATAGATTTATCATCATCAACATTTGAGTTTTTCTAAACTATATTTCTTTTTTCACTTTAGTTATACAAAAATAGATAGTTACTAGTTTATGAATAAAAATTAGTCAGTTAACTATTTTAACTGATCTAAGAACATCCTCAGATCATTCATATATATATATGCTAGTAAGATTCAATGGCTCCAAAAACAAGCTAGTAATGTTCTCCAGTTATAAAAGTTATAAATTCCTGATTCTTTCTGCCATGATCTATTTTTACAGGAGCCAGATTAGACCAAAGCAAGTTCCACTTAGACAGCTTCTTTTCCAGAATTGTTAATTTGTGGAACAGACTCCCAAAAGAAGGCTTCCCTAATCATTACAATTGGCCAGGAAGAAATCCCAGCATGCATCTGTTTGTTTTGTCAATAAATTTTGAGAGAGGGATATTTTTGCTGTCATTCCTGCCAAGTGAAACCAACATGAAAATTACTAATATTATTATTGTGAATACTGTGGACACAATATTGAATAAAAATCATCTTTAAAATCTAAGAAATCGGCCTCACTTTGATCAGTGTTGCCACAATATACAATATTCATCTATAACTAAATAATTTTATCAGTTTTCATGTATTTGAAACTTATTTTTCTATTTTCTACTAAATACTTTAGAGGAATAATTGTCTCTCTTAATGTAGTTGAAGTGAAATTATCATGACTAGAAATAATAAATTTAACCATTTATTATGAAATAAATACTGTTCTTATCCAAGGTGAGACATTTTATTTAACCAAAATAACTTAGCTTGTACTTAGACTCTAAACAAGCTGGTAAATGCTAGAAACACTGATTACTGATGCTTAGAGCAACATCACATTGAAACACCAGTTCCTCTACAATTACCAAATTTAAGCAATGTTGAGCCTGGTCAGTGCTTAGATGGGTGACCACTTGGGAATACTAGGTGCTGTAATCTTGGATGTGCAGGTGGTGTTATGGATCATGGCTCAGAATTGTTAATCGAAGAGCCAAGTTATAATTCCATTTGGGATTGTTATATTCATTTACATGCAAATACCCTTGGGAAACATATGAATCCACCTCTTCTCCCCCAGCTATGGGTTACTTAGTAATACCTGCATCATTAAAAAGCATTATTATCTCAAATAAAAATACAATAAATGAAAATATTTAGATTTCAGCACTAAATGACCCATAGAGCTACTGATATGCTGCTAAACAAAAACAACCAACCAACGAACTACAAATATTTATAAATTTTATGGACACACTCAGAACAGGGATTAAGAGAGAGATAGCAAAAAGACAAACTTTACTAAGAGCTACAATGGACAGGAAACTGTGAAGAGCCATGATTGTTTACATCCTGACAGTACATGGCACATAGAAAATCTGAATAGACAGTTCAACAGGTTCAGCCTATTGACTAATTCCGTTTTTCATTCTGTTTATGAAATTTTTGCTGAATGTTCCTTCACCAAAGAAGCCTTACATTTACTTCAGGCCTCTTACATAAAACCTAAAAAGTGTTCTATAGATATCTACTCACTATGAGGAGACAACAAAAATGGTGAGACAGTGGAACGTTACTTAAAAGAACTAAAAATATTAAGGACTACAATTTCTGTGCTATGACTGCTTAGGTGGTATGAGACTACCTCATATTGGATATCTTAGTATACAAAATATACAGGTAAGGCAAAAACTCCTTGAAATTAAAATCCTCAATTTGAGGACAGCATATGAACAAATGTACATAATCAAGGTTGCTCAATGATAATCCTCCTCTGAACTTCAGTTTAACTCCATTGTTAGTTGATTTGTTTAATGTCATATTGACTCCTTATGGGTCATTTAACGCCAAAATTTAATTTTCTTGTGAGCTTTGAAGTAATAAAAATATGATTTGTATTCTGCTTTCACAATTGAATACATGATAGATGATACTCAGATTTTCGGCATATACCTGCTTGTATGGACATAATTAGTAGAGGTGGTGATATGTGTTTTATGTTGTTTTTTAAGCTATATTTTAGAATGCAGTTTGATTTAAGAAATTGTTGGGTATTATTTAAATTAATGCCATGAAAGGTTGGTTGTTTACTTGATTTTGTTTAGCAGCATATCAACTTCTATGCCAAAATATAACTAATTTGAACACAATTTTATGGCTTCAACTAAATATATTTTAAATGCAGTTGTATACCTTCAATTACTATTTATTGCTGGGCATGTATTGTTGGTCTTTTTATATAAAAATGTATTACTGGTATTTTTACTATTAAAATGTATTTTTATACTTACATAGTGTTTTTGTTTGGAGGGACTCACTATTTACCCATAGCTAGGACCCTAACATGTAGTACCACCCCAGGTCACAGTGGACCTGGGAACAACACCAATTAAGAGGAGGGTACTCAAAACCTCCAGTCTTGTGATCTTAGCTCCATTGGTTCTATTTTTATACTTACTTATACTAGTGACTCTCCAACAAATTTGAAGAGCAAAAAAAACAAACTTCCTCATGCATAAGTTTCATTCTCAGATTCCCATGATCAGCCTGCCAATGCTTCTTCAGTAAAAGTCCCCATTCTCAAGCCATATGCTGACCCAAAGTGTGAGGTGCTGTAAATATGGGAAAGTGGAATATTTTACTAAAATTTCCTAATCCACTAAGATTACCATTTTAAAGAAGTGTCTGGCTACTCCTCTGATGGCATCTCTAACAGTAGACACTGTATCAACTACATTTCCAAACTTTAACTAAACCTATACAGAAACCAAAAATTAATGAAGTTCTCATAAATGCTTTAGTTGATATGAGTAGTTCTAAGAATTATATTGATTTCAAAATCTAACAAATGAAGAATTACCCCTTGTTACAGCTGAATGGCTATGGCAAATGTCTCACTATCTTCACAGACTGTTGGAAACAGCTTCAATAAATCTATACAGAAACAAACTATACCTAATAAAATCTAATAATGGAAAACCTATGCTGCGATGTCATTTGAGTACAATTTCCTTAAACATTCCAGCATGAAAATTCCCTTTGGGGGTCCTAAACAGGCTTAAAGCATTTATGGCTTGCTTTCCATTAGCATCCAATGCCCATCTGTTTTAATAATTTAATGGTTGATTGCAAGCCAGTGGCTATTAAATTAAGAAGAAATTCCCCTGATGATAAGCAATTTATAAAATTAGAAATAACATTAAGAGAAGAGATAATTGTATAGAATAAATCTCCATGGAGGGTGCAGTAACATCCTCTGAAAGTGACAAAAAAAAAGATTGGCTATAGACTGCCATTAATAGATTTACCTTGTTAGATGTATATACATTACCATACATTACTGCATGTTATTAAATAATTAATAAGATTGTCCAATACTTTATTTGCAGCATTTCTGGATCTCAGAAGTGCTTAAAATCAAATAGTCATTAAGCCTTATAAAGTGTTTGAAGCTGATGAGTGACTGTATCAATTTCATCAAATTTATTTTGGAGTAACAAATGGGGAAATAACTCTGTGTGGAGAAAAAATCATACGGAACCCATTTGCAACTTAAAACATGGCAACCATCTATAGGGATATCCCCAATCCCCACAAATTTGTGACTGAATAAAGTTGTGGCGGGAGTAGCCTTTGTCAAATGCAAAATAAGTAACAGAACTGTCCAACGAACAGAATTGACAATGTTTTCAATAACAAAAAAAAAATAAAAAAATAAGAGAACAGGCAAAAATAATATAAAGCAAGCAAACAATATATGCAAGACAAATTAATAGTAATATGGCAAAATGTTCACAAATTAAGAATTGGGGTTGACACACAAAAGCAAGTTTGGACAAGTGAATGTGACATTCTGACTTCAAGACAATACAGATTGGAATTGAGTCAGATGAAACCGAGAACCGGCCTATTTTATTGGCTTGGAAAAAATCCCAGCATGCATTTGTATGCTTCTACCTATAAAATGGGAGGGCAAATGTTTTGCAGTCATTTGAATTGGAATCAACAGAAACTACACCAGAAAGAACGTGGTGAAATTACCATCTCCCTAAATAATGATCTTTAGCACTTATAATATAAATGCTGTGTGATCCAAGACAAGATTTTCACTCAGCAAAAAGTTAAATAAATCTTCCAAAGTTTTGTCTTTATAATTTGATCCATATAATCTACAAATTATTACTCATTAAACACTGATCAGATTAAAGTTAAGTCTAATGAATGTGGTTTGTTTCACATTGAATACTAAGCTACCCAGCATTATCTGTTTTATATAAAAATCACACCAGTAATCTGTCAATTCATGATAAACAATATTATTAATAACCATATCATTTAATTTAGTATAACAATATTCATTCCCATTTAATTTTTTGTTACTATTTAAATAAATATATAAAGAAAGCATCATGAAATTTGTTATGTTGGGCTTAAACTTCCAAACTGCAATATTTAAATTCTTTAAACAAGATATATTCTGGTTCAGCATGTTCCAAGGATGGTTATGATAATTTGTTTTTGTATTCTTTCTAGAAGTGAAGATCTTTGTAAATTAAATTATTTTTCATTTTAATTCAATAATTTTTCATTTTCTTAAAGATTATTTACACTTAATATTGTTTTAATCATTAAAAAGTGGAAATTTGTTTTTATAAAATATGAAAGCTTATTATCTTTCATGGAAAAATGTTTGTAATTTTAAAACAAATAAGCCCTTTATGAAAGAAAATGAATGCTAGTATATTCTTTTAATCTTCTCATTTTCAATTTAATATTTTGCCACTGTTTATTTAAAAAATAATTGAACGATGTAGGTTTCATGCATGTAAATAAATAGAAATGTGTTTAAAGTTTGTTTAAAGTTAAGCATTTTTTTTGTATTTATGTTTTTGTGATAAATAAAATAATTTATTAATAATTTTTAAACACCGTAATTTATTAAATAAAATGTAAAGCAACTTCTACTGGATTTACCTTTTTCACTCTGGTCACCTTCACTTCAAGATGGCTTCCCTCTTCTCTTTGGGTGGCCTAAATAATCATGTGTGCATGTGTGTGTGTGTGTGTGTGTGTGTGTGTGAGAGAGAGAGAGAGAGTTTAGCTCAATGATTGCCCAATAATAATCTTATAACTATTTCCATGCAGATAACTTAGAAGTTCCACCTGTGTAGATGTACCTTTTCCAAACTGGCATTTTGCCAAGGGGAAACATAACATAACATAAGGCATATTCTACAATTCACTCATTTATTTATTAACTTTACCACTGTTTATAAAAAAAATAATTGAATGATGTCAGGTTTAAATTGGAAATGCTAAAAGCATTTTTATTGCTGTTTTCTAATGATAAATATTACATATTTTTTTCTTTAGGTATCTTTGCTTATATAAAGAGTATGGAAATAGTTTACCAAAATCTTCCTTGGAATATACTAAATTAGAATATATATAGTTTTATAGATCTAAATATTGTATTTTAGGAGTTTAAGTTGGATTTGATAAGCACAGCTTAGATGTGGCACAAGGCCGAAAGTATGGAGCACCCAGTGAGGATCAAACTCACTACTCAGTTGTAATTGATCTTGTAAACATTACACTACATCAAAGTGCCCCAAAATGTCTTTTATTATAGATGTATAGAACATGAACAAATATATGGATTTATTTTATGTTTGAATTAAAAAAGTATCAAAGATTTTTATTTTTCTAATAAATAAATATCAATTATAAGCATTTTTTGGTCATTGGTATAAAAACAACTCAGTATTAATTTCAGTCTTTGATTCTAACATTTTCCTCTTAACATACACTTTGTTGATCAGTATTTTTATTAGAAGTCTGTCCTTACTGACATCTGATCATGCAATAAAGCTTCCAGCAGGCTGATCAGATGTGCAGATAACATGTCATAAAACAACTGATCATTGGCAACATGTCATT